TTTTTACAGTGGAGAGGTACCTCCTCCTCTTTCCTGTCTATTAAAGTTTGTTTATCTGAAAGTGGGTTTTTGTTTTAATATTTTATGGTTTCTGTACCTTCATTTCAACTCTGTAGATTTTCTGCAATGTGTTTCCCAAACTTTGTACATGACCTGCACATGGCTTGGAGGCATGATTTTTTCCTTTAGGCAATAAAAAAAGCTACATCAATACATCTCTTTAAGATAAGTCTCTCTTTACAGTGGGGGTTTGTTGAGACAGCTGAAAGATAATGACCTTAGGTTTTGTAGGAACACTGTGGTTCTCTGAATTATTTGCTAAACATTTTCTAAATTCTGAAAACCAACTGTGAAGTCAGTTACCTCCACTTCATCCTCAGACCACGTTTGTGTGAGATGATCTTTGACTGAAAGCCGTTCTACGCTTTTGCGCCCGTCACGGAACAGTTTCAGAATCAGATAGTCTCGTCTTCTCTGATTGAGAGTTCCTCCTCAGTTTACCCTCCTCTCACGCACTGCTCTAAGGAGCAGGAAGAATCCAAACAGCCCATGTAACGTTCTGCCCGGAAATCGCCTCTGCTACATCACGCAGCCCTTTAGAGCGGTTATGTGGTGGTGGTGGTGGTGGTGGTGGTGGTGGTGGTGGTGGTGGTGGTGGTGTGTGTGTCCGTCCAGTTCTTTAGAAGTGTTTGTGCGTGGTGGGTGGGTGTGTCCGTCCGGTTCTTTAGAAGCAGTTGTGTGTGGTGTGTGTGTGCCCAGCTCTTTAGATGCAGTTGTGTGGTTTGTGTGTGTGTGTGCCCAGTTCTTTAGAAGCGGTTGTGTGTGGTGTGTGTCTGTCCAGTTCTTCAGACACAGTTGTGTGTGGGGTGTGTGTCCAGTTCTTCAGACACAGTTGTGTGGTGTGTGTGTGCCCAGCTCTTTAGATGCAGTTGTGTGTGTTGGGTGTGTGCCCAGCTCTTTAGATGTGGTTGTGTGTGGTTATGTACACATATGTGATGGACAGAGAGAGGCCATTCAGATATCTTTATAATGGAAGAAATCATTTATTTTGGCTTACAGTTCTAGAAGAGGAGTCCATAGAAGTGAACATGAAGAAGGATGGCAGTGTTTGTTGTGGTTTTTTGAGATACTCACTGCCCTGGAACTCACCAAGTAGGCTAGGCTGGCCAACAACCTTCAGGAATCTCTCTCTGCCTTCTCACTGTTATGATGGCAAGCAGAAGTCACCATGTCTCACTTTTAAAAAACTGAGTTCTGGGGTTAAAACTTGTGTCCTCATGGTTACAGGCTTTACCGACTCGTCTCTCTCCCACCCGTTCCTTCCCTTCCTTCCTCTCTCTCTCCCTCTTTCTTCCTTCCTTCCTGTCTCTATTTTCTCTGTACTTTTTTTTTTTTCTGAGACAGGGTTTCTCTGTGTAGTTTTGGAGTCTGTCCTGGATCTCGCTTTGTAGACCAGGCCTTGAACTCACAGATCCACTTGGCTCTGCCTCCCAAGTGCTGGGATTAAAGGTGTGCACCACCACCATGGCCAGGCTCTCTGTACTTGTTTTATGTGACAACGTTGCTAAACTTTCTATTGCCATCTATTACAGCAAAACATCTCTTTTCTTTTGGTTTCCAAAGCTATTTTCCAGATTTTTCTTCTGAGCTCTCACCAGCACTGTCCTTGAAGTTCACTGGGTTTCTGTCAACCATTTCTCCATTGCATTGATATTTTCATTTCTCCTAGTCTTTTCTTTGCCAACATTTAAATCTATAAACATAGTAAACATGAATGCACAATTTCTTTGAGCCAGGAGTGCTGGAGCTGAGGAGTCTGGTAGTTCTGTCTCAGAGCCACTGAGCCACTTCAAAGACATTGACCAAGGTTGCAGTCATCTGAACTCTTGCCCAAGGCAGGAGGATCTACTTCCATATTGACAGATTCAAGTACCTGATTCCTTGGTGATGGCTAGGAGTAGCAAGCTTTGATTCCTCAACAATGTAGGTGTCTCCACAGGGCTGCTGGAGTTTTAAAGACATGGCATCTGACATCTTCCACAATGAATAGTCCAGGACTGAGCAAGGTGGAAGCTGCAATGTATTTTATGACCTTAACTGCACCTTATTGGTTACATGGCTTACTTCTCTATATTATAGGAGGGGACTTCCCAGGGTATGGCTACCAGGAGAAAATAATCACTGGAGGCCACTCTGGAATCAAGATACAATAATGACAGACAGATAATTCTGACAGACACCTCAAAGAATGTGTTTGAATAATCCTTAATAACAGTATTCATGAAAGAAAAAAAACAGAAACATACTGTACATCTAAAAGTTGTTTAAGAATGACCTTCTGGGGCTGGTGAGCTGGGTCAGTTGTCAGCGGCACTGACTACTCCTTTAGAGGGTCCAAGTTTGAATCCTAGCACCCACATCAGGAGGCTCACAATAATCTGTAACTCCAGTTCTAAGGAACCTGACATTGTCTTCCGCACACACATGTGGCACACACAGACTCATACACATAAGTGAAAATAAATGTAAAAAAATTCACACAGAGATTTTCAGGGCTAGAGAGATGGTTCAGCAATTAAGAACATTTTTGTTCATTTTGCAGAGGACCCAGGTGGGGTTCACAGCACCCACATGGTGGCTCACAACCATCTGCAACTCCAGGTCCATGGGATCCAGCACTCTTTGCTGACCTCCTGGGGCACCAGGCACACATGTGGTACCCGGACATACAAGCAGGCAAAGTACTCTTACAAGACAAGAGTAGCCACGCGGGCTTCCGGGTGCTGCTCCTTTTGGTCCAGTGGCTCCATCCATAGATGCCAGCCACATTCATAGCCAGCACTCTGACCTCTACCTCTGCAGTCCCCAGTCTTCACTGGGGTCCACTCTGCTTTGGTTTGGCAAGTGCCCCAGGCAGAAAGCAGCTGTGAACAGGATGTTTGGCTTTTCCTATATTTCCTTAGCTCAATGATTCAGGCCTTTGCTTAGCAATGCTTTTTCCCTGATGGTGAGCACTTGCGACACATAGCTTACCAAACTTTATGGCTGCTTGTGGCAGAAGGGCCAGTCCACCACCAGCTATTCCATGATGGCCAAACAGGAGTCAGGTGTTGTGAGGCTGGGCATGGTGGTGTGCACCTTCAATTCCAGAGTAGACGCAATGGCAGCCTGGTCTACATATCTAGTTTCAGGATAGCCTAGGCTACATAGTTAGACCCTCAGAAAAAAAAGGGGGGGGAGTGAGTGAAGAGATGGCTTCCTTGTTAAGAGCACTTCTTGCTTTTTCCAAGGACCAGAGTTCAGTTCACAGCACCCCTGTCATGAGGCCAGAACTACCTCCAGGTCCAGGAAGATCTGACACCTCAAGTCTCCAAGAAGACCTGTACTCACATGTACACACTCACACACAAGAACATGCACACATGCATGTATGCACACACATATACACACAATTAAACATAATAATAACAAAATTTGAAGTTGAACACTGCTCTGTCATTTGCTGAGGGGAAGAAAAAATAAACAGCCCGGCAGCTCATTATTTAAAGCAGCAGACCCTGGAAAGAACTAGAAATTATGTTAAAGTAAGGAATGGTTCCTGCAGGAGTGTAAAGACTCTGCCTAGTGGTGGTGGCACACGCCTTTAATACCAGCACTCAGGAGGCAGAGGCAGGCCGATCTCTATGAGTTTGAGGCCAGCCTGGTCTACAGAGTGAGTCCCAGGACAGGCACCAAAACTACACAGAGAAACCCTGTCTCGAAAAACCAAACCAACCCTCCACCCCCCGAAAAAAGAAGCATCAAGACAGTTAAGACACTTTTGGCAAACTTTAAAGAAACTAGGGCCAGGAACAACTTCCCATTTCCATCAAGGTAAACATTAAAAAGTTCACCCTAAAAGAATACAAATGCCATTCAGAAAATCATGAAACTCGGTATGGTGATGTTTCCCCGTGTCCTGAATAACACCTACAGCCCGCTGTATTCTAAGAAGACCCATTACACTTTGCATCAGAACCCTCTCCTCCAGCTACTGCCTCTCCACGTGACAGGTGAGTCCAGCACCCCAGAGAGGAGCTTCCAGACAGCGTGTGGTCTTACAAGAAACAATGGTTGTTTTCTACCACACTGTTATATTTTGATTTATTATGCAGTAATAGCTAACTGATTCAGATGAATAATTTATTGAGTATTCACTACTTTTTTCTATTTCTTTAAAAAACGATTTGATTATTATGCTATGACAAACTCCATTTTACAATTCAGCACATTGAGGCTAACGTTCAAAGCATCACGTGACTTTCTTTTTCACATTCCTTTAGCATCATAAATGCCCTGGGCCATAGATAGGGATGATATTATTTTCTCCATGTTGCAGGTGGAGAAGTTATAGCTATTCCTCTGGTCTGGCTGAAAGTTCATACTCATTGTCTAATCCCAGCCCCTGAGCCCCAGGCCCTAGTAACCAGCCTTTTAGTCTTTGCCCATTTGAGTTTGAGATTTTAACATTCCACATGTGAGTGAGATCATGGAGTGCTTTTCTTTCTGAGACTAGCTCATTTCACTTAGCCCAATGCCATAATAATCAGGGTTTTCTTCTTTAAGACTGAATAGTATTCCACCATGTAAAGATACTACATTTCAAGCCAGAAGTGGTGGCACACACTTCTAATCCCAGCACTTAGGAGGGAGAGGCAGGTGGATCTCTGAGTTTGAGGCCAGTCTGATCTACAGTCCAAGTTACAGGACAGCCAAGACTGCACAGAGAAACCCTGTCTCAAAAAAACACAAATAAAACAAACAAAAAGGATACCGTATTTCCTTTTTCTGTTCCTTCTTTGATAGACATTTGGGTGGTTTCCATGTCTTAGCTGTTGTGAGTAGTGCAATGAACATGAGACGTCTCTTTGATCTATTGATTTTGTTTCCTTTGTCTGTATCCCCAGGAGTGGAGTTGCTAGATCATATAGATCACATAGTTGTCTTATTTTAATTTTTTTTTTGAACTTCTATCTATACACTCTTTTCTGCAATGGCGGTATGAACCAGGTGAGACTGTTGTGAGGTTTTTTTTTTTTTTTTTTTTTTTGCGACAGGGTTTCTCTGTGTAGCTTTGCACCTTTCCTGGGACTCACTCTGTAGCCCTGGCTGGCCTTGAACTCACAGAGATCAGCCTGCCTCTGCCTCCTGAGTGCTAGGAGTAAAGGTGTGGGCCTCATGGCTGAGGGTCTTATTCTTAACAGCATTACATACAGCCTCATTGGCCAGGGAAATTGCAAGTGTTACAGATCTGGAGGGAAAGGTATCCTGACTGTCACAAGTCAGGCTATACCTGCAGCTGTGAAGGGAAGGTGTCCTGGGTACCTACAGCTGTGAGGAGAAAGGTGTCCTAACTGTTGGGAAATCAGGCTGTAACTGTAGCTGTGTTCCAGTGGGGGATGGTCTCCCCGCAGGATGTAGCAATCCTGCTCCTCTCCGAGAGAGCGTTACAGTTCAGCTCTGCTCTGCTCCGCTAAGGGAGTTTCCCAGCAGAGATGTCTGTTGCTTCTCTGCTCTGGCCCAAGTTGTTACTTCACTCTCTTAAGGGGGAAACCTCTGCAGAAATGTAGCAATCTGCTCCTTCTCCAGGGAAAGTTGTTACTTCTCTGCTCTTCTCTACTAAGGGAGTTGCTCAGCAGAGATGTTCATTGCCTCTCTGCTCCTGAAGGTCTTCACCCCAAACTCATTCAAGAGATTCATTGGGAGGGAGGAATCCAGGAGAGTGGCTGCCTCTACTGGGGTGGAAAAGGGCAATTGCCAACTGAGCAGGCACAGGGCTCGTGTAGGGCTTCTTAGAGGTGGAGTTTTTCCAGGGAGAAGATTTCTCAGGGTGAGAGAATAGGTCAGATTTCAATCCCTGAGCTTGGACAAGCTCAGAGAGTGCCTATATTTTGTGTTCAGGGATTGGTCGGTTTCAGGCTCAGTTGGTCAGGGACAGAGTGTATTTCTTTGGCTCTGTTTTCAGGGTCAGGGTGTGTTTCTTTGGCTGGCCCTTTTACCCTACAGAAATCACATGGCCACAGAGGATACTGTCCAGTACGTGGTCATAGGAAGACATTCAACACTGGCATGATTATTGTTGCTTAACTCTGTAAACCACTCACCAGTAGGTTGCATAACAAGCTTCTACCATACCTACTTACTTTCAGAGTATGTCAGTCACCTTAGAATAAAACAACCTCAGACTGCAGAGAGAAGAAATTTATATATAATTTGCCTTGAACGTTTTAAATCTCATAATAGGGACGAGTGCAGTCACTCATTAAAAGGGAAAAGTCTATTTTGCTTTTTCTCCATTCCTTCCCTTCCCGTCTCTCATTAGCTGGACACAACTGCACAGAGAACTCTGTGTTGATGGAGCATTCTGGAGCCTGTGTATTTATTACCGTGTATTTATACCCTCCTCCCCGGTGATGTGCTACTCGGGTTTCTCTGGAGGCCAAGCGGAAATGGAGAAAAGCAAAATGCAAACAAGACGAAATGCAAACAAGACAAAAAACAAGCTAAAAGCTGAGAGGCAGGATGCGAGTGGGCACTAGCAGGGGACGGAGACACCAGCAATATTTTGGCACCGGTTAGAACAGGTTTACACACTTGTGTGGAATGTGAACGCCACTGTGCTTTGTTGCCCTTTCTATTGGGTTTTATTTCCCCATCCCTCGCCTGTGGAATGCGACATCCTGACAGAACCGGAAGGAGGCATGTCTTTCTCATCAGTAGCTACTGGTCCATCCATTTTCAGGCTACCAAAGCAGGCTTTCGCATCACACAGAGAGAAGCAAGGTTTCAGGAGAGCATGGTCCCACCGTTCCCATGAAAACACACATCGGCCTCTCCAGGCTCCCAGGCCCTTCATGCTCTGGGCCCATACTGGTCTTGCTATTCTGTTGTGCCATGTTAATTTGATGTCTGGGTCACGGCTCTCCTTAAGGTCTGAGAACACTATGACTGGGAAGTTCCCAGAAGTCATCCAGCCCAGACCCACTCCAGAACTGAGTAAGAATGAACTGGAGAAGTAGAGTCTAGGGCTATCCTCAGGCTAGAGCTTGGCTTCACTTCCAGTCCAGAGTGCGTCACATCACCTTTTCCTTCTCCTTGTGGTAAGGCCATTTCACCAAACAGCAGATATCCTCCGAGTTGCTCCAAAAACACCAGCTGCGGGGCAGGGCCATCATGCCAGCCTCTCTCAGCTACGCTCTCTCTCTCTCTTTCTCTCTGCCACGAGCTGCTGTTTTCATGGAAATGCTAGCTCCAGGATGTGTCTATCCTCATCAGATCCATCCAGATGTGCTCAAATCCTGTTTAGGCTCACAGTCCCTCCCAGCTAAAAGACTGTGCATCTTATTTTATCAGCACAGAGTCCCCATGAAGTAAACAAAGCCTGGGCCCTCCTCTTGCCTTCTGCTCACCCGCTTTAGCTGACCCTGAGGGTGCTTCTATGAATAGGAGAGTCTCCAGTGGCATTCAGCAATGGTGTTTTCTCCTCCAGTTAAAAGCATGGCATAAATTACTGTAATTCTACTGCTATTTTGGTGTTATTCAAAGTGATTCATTTTGCTAGGGTGGTCCTAAAATAGCCCATCACTCTCAGCACACACACACACACACACACACACACACACACACCACACCAGATATGCGATTTGGTAATAAGATACAGGCTGGAGTTTCTTTAGTTTAGGGATTCACAGATTAGCATGCTTGTGACTTTACCTCATCTGGGGATGAACTCAGGAAGCTGCAGGTGCTGCTGAGTGATTACGTCAACTAAGTAACCAGATTCTCTTATGTCCCGTCATTTATCAATTCACTCATTTGCCGAACAAGTGAGTCCTGCCTTCCATACACACTCAGTAACCATCTCTGTCAGTGGTCCTTGGTCAAGGGAAGTAAGCTCTCTGCACTATAGGCTTCACAAATGAACCGTCCATGTTTGGCCAGTGTACAAATTTCATCTTAATACCCATGACAGCAGCTGGGCCTGCAGTGATGTCCACTCCTGATACTGACAGTGTAGAGGGGGCACATGAGGAATGACAACCGACTGGTTCCTGGTCACAGGAGCTCATCAAGAGTGTGGCCAGGGCTATGTACAGCTTCCCTTCACCAGCAATGCTGTTCTGCGGAGTGACCCCGTGAAGGCTGCAATAACAGAGGTTTTATGGGCGCTATAAAAGGTGCTAAACTGCAGTAGTGATTCAGTAATTTATTGCTGGCTTCTGCCTCAGCTCACAGCCCAGGCTGTACACAGATAATTACAACACAAAGGACTTAACGAAATGCCAGGCTGAGGCACAGAGGAGGCCGATTTTCACGAAGTCACCAAGGGCAGAGAGGGCAAGTGCCCACAGTCAGCAGAAGCTAATCCAGGCTGACAAAAATTTCTGGAAGGGGCAGAAACTTCTAAGCATCCCCCATGTAGTGAAGAACATGGTTCAGGTAGATTACAGAGCCCACACCCAGATCCCTCCCGTGGAGCCCCCTGGCAGAGCGGCCTCATCACATGAACAGGTCTAGGTCACAGGGGAGTGAGTGGCAGCCATGTGTGGGACTTCTGAGTCTCCTTACAGACAAAGCCACTGACTCTGGCATTTCTGTCTGTCAGACAAAGCTTCATCCCAGCGGATGGGATGTTGGGAGCTTGGTTCCCCAGATGGCCATGTGGTACAGTACGGTCCTGGCACCTAGGATCCCCTTGGTCCTGGACTGCTCTGGGAGAAACCAGACATCACAGTGAGGGATCTCGTTGTCCCTTTGTTATGGCACTTGACCTGGAGTTGGCCTGTGCTCAAGGGTTCATGATGTGAAAGAGCGTTGCGGGGAAGTCCTTGCTAGTAGAACCTGGAGGAACAAACTGGGTGTGGTGGGAAAGGCGTGCCCAGCCCAGAAGGCAGTGATGAGCTGTCTGAATCCAGGGCTGATCTTGTGTTTGGGCAATAGTGGCGGCACTGAGCTATGCAGAGAGAGGTCCGGCCATAAAATGCCTGAAATGAGATCTGACCCGGAAGCAAACAGCTGGCGATACTTATACACCTGCCTCTAACAGCCTTGGTCTTGAATAAGGGACCATGCGTTGTCACATGCTGTACCCCTGTTCTTCATTGTGTGTGTGTGTGTGTGTGTGTATAGGGGGGGATCCCACTGGGTCCCCACACAATGTGCACTGCAGTTTTCTAGGACATTCAGAAATGTACAGCCTTTTGACTAAATCTAACAACTGTTCTATTTCCAGAAAAATAACAGAATCGCTCCGATGATGCTCAGTGTTACTACTGTGTTGTTTTCTAATTTCCCTAGGCTTCGTTTTCCTTCTTCCTTTCTTTCATCATTTCTATTTACCTTTGCATGACTGGGTATTGAGCCCAGGGCCTCACGGATACTGTACAGACTTCAGCCACCAAGTGTACCCCCTTCAATCCCAGCACTTGAGAGGTAGAGTCAAGCGGATCTCTGTGAATTCAAGGCAACGTCTGGTCTACATAGTGAGTTTCAGGACAGCCAGAGCTACATAGTGAGACCTTGTCTCCATAAACAAACAAATAAATAAATAATGTCAATAATTAAGAAAGCTGTTCTCACAGTCCCAAGTGGGATGTCTTCATCAAACCTTCCCTTCAGGGCTCAGGGACCTTTGCAGAAGAGGATTTGGAACAATTATAAGAGCCAGGGGTGATAGATGACTCCAGGAAGACAGTGTCTTCCTTACATAACCGGACTGATGCATGTATGAACTCACCGAGACTGGCAGCATGCACAGGGCCTGCACAGGTCTGAGCCAGACAGGGTTCTAGTGCCGAGAGGGGAAAGTCGATGCAGGTTCCCGTCTCTAAACACAAAGCTATTTTCAACTGGTATCTGCTTGTAAAGGAAAACTTAGTTTTCTCTAGTGGAGTCTCCCTGGGTACAACGACACACTCTGCCGTAGGCCCCGTGCCCAGCAGCAGATGGGCAACACCGAGCCAGCTCTGGTGTTTTTGCCGACTTTTTCTCTCATGTTGTTTTGTTTTGGTATTATTATTTTTTTTTTTGTCTTATTGGTTTTTTTCTTGCATATTTTGGTTTCTGGGTTTGTGGGGATTTGTGTGTGTGTTTCCTGGGTAGTTTGTTTTCTGATTTGTTTTGTTTTGTTTTTTGTTTTTTGAAGAGAGAAATAAGTGGTATGGAATTGGGTGGGCAAGAGATGGGGAATATCTGGGGGAGCTGAGAAGGGAAAGCAAGATCAGAATACAGTGCATGAAAACAAATTGCTTTCAATAGAAATGGTACTCAGCTTTTAAAAAAGGAGGCTGTGCTCTGTGTTTCAACTTCCCTATTCAATTCTGTAACTGCCCACTTTCAAGACTCTCCAGGCTGCTCCGAGAATGTCTCTGCCCAGTTATAGCGAACGGCAGCTCCTGCTGTTTCTATCAAGTTTGTGTTCACTGCAGTAACATCTCTCTGGTGGCTAAATCCATCCGCCCCTCCAGCTTCTCACCCTTCTGCCCCGGTTCCGCACCCTGGGGAGCCAAAGCTGCAGGCAGCAGGAGGGCTTGTCCCCACGTCCACTTCCTGAGGCTTGCTAAGCACTGTTTATAGAGGGCTGTCCCCTTCTCCCAGAGCCCACGGCTTCTATCAGGCGGCGGAGCTTGGGGCACACACAACTCTGACTTGGAGTCTGGCTCCAGTCTCTCCTCACCTCCCTTCCTGACCCTGCTGCTTCCATGCAGCTCACCATTGGGAGCAACCCTCCTGGGTTTCTCTACACCCGTGGTTCTCAACCTTCCTAATGCTGAAGCCTTTCATACAGTTCTTCGGGTCGGGGTGACCCCCAACCATAAAATCATTTCATTGCTACTTCATCACTAGAATTTTGCTACTCTTATGAATTGTAAAGCACCTGATATGTGACCCAAGGGAGCCACGACCCACAGGTTGGGAACCACTGCTCTACACTCTGCCTTGGTCAACAGTCCTGTAGTTTCTGTGTGTTATTTGAGTTTCCTACTGGGGGGGGAGGGGCTGGCTGACTGCCGGGGGTTGTTTCAGCTTGTGGATCCACCGGGGACTCCCAGGACATCAGATGCCAACCAGGCTTCACCTCGTATGTTAGGCCATTTCTTCAGGATAGGGAACTAGGGAAGTCAGTCTTCACACGTACAGGGATTGTCTGTGGCAGAAAGATATTCCGCAAGCACAGGCGGCTCGTGCCTTCTTCCTTTCTCCCGAAAACTTTTACTCCAAAGACCCACCCCCCAGTTCTTTATGAATCACTGGAATGTAAGTTCCATCATAGTACTTTACCCTTAAGTACATCAGCATCTGCCTCCTATGCCCACAGCACAGATACCAACTCCATCAATCTGCGCAGACCTAATGCTCTCAGCGCCCCTGACAGTCTGTTCCGGGTTTGGTATACTCCTCTAACAGTGCTCTCTCTAGTCTGTGCCCCCTCACCACAGGATCCAGCCTGGGATCTGAGTGGCATTTGCTGCCATGCTCTTTCCGACTCTCTTAACCTGAAACACTAACTTTCCTGGCATTGGCTTCTTTTAATGAGACTTAAAAATTGTAGAGGAGTTCTAATTCACCACAAAATTGAGAAGGCTCAAAAATATACCTCCTCCTCTGACAATGCTTTCCCTGTGATCAATATCCTCCGTCCTCCACCAGAGTGACCTTGATGTTTCTGAAGACAGAATTCCCTCTCCCACACATGCACCATTCCTTTAGAAAATGCAAGTCTTCATTTTTGCAGCTGCTTCTTTGTGATCGGGCTGGGGCTATGTGTTCTTGTCCACGAAGCCACAGAGGTGATGCTGTCTCTGTCTCTGGGAACCACCTTGGGAGGCACACGGACCCCATCTGTCATCATTGCTCTCTGAATATTTTTTTCCCACCATGAACTATAGAGCAGTCTTTGTGGAGATACGTCATGACCACTCCGATCTAGTGCTTGTCATCAAAGCCTCAGGCCAGGCTTAGTGCCTACTGGCATTTCCTGCTTACAAGAAGGATAGAACCCCGTGTCTCCACTCTGTTTTCCCTAGAGACACAGCCCATGCTGAAAACTACTGGAGGAATTGCAGCAATGTGTCAGAGAAGGGAATTTCTCCTGGGAGGGGCAGAGACCAGGGAGCAGCTTTCTAGGGTCTTCAAGACATACTTCATCTATGCCCCTCCTCCTGGGAGACCGTCCCCATCCCAGCTCACCACAGCTCTCCCTGCTAGGGGGAGGACAGGGGCGCACACTTTCCTCTAAGTGCTTTTCAAATTTCTATCCCACCGCCACTTCAGACACTTCCTCTTAGCCACAGAAAGCAAAGAAATACACACTGCCTCCGCCCCGCCCCCCCCCAGTCCAAGGGATGGAAAGCCATTGCTGATACGGAGGATTCCCTAGGAAATTTTGTTATCTCAAAGTATACAACATGGCTACAGTGCCCCTCAGATAAGGTTTTCTCTCCCGGGTAAGGCAAGGAATTCCAGATAACAGTGCCTCCCACAGCTCAGATCCCATGCTTATCTTTGGATGACTGTCTGCGTGGCTTTGGTCAAAGTGTTTTTGTTCTGTTCAGACAGTGGGGACACAGCTGTTGGATCCTTGGCTGGAGATAACCCTGGAGTTTTCTGTACATGCTGGGAATACTAAGGGAATCAGCACTGCAGACCCTTCTAGAGAGAGGAGCGCCCATCCCACACGAAGAAGGGCATGCTGGAAGCTATACTGGGTGGGCACCGCTTGCTTTAGTGCTGGGTGAGTGGAATCATCTGACATCGGGACACACCAGCTTCCCTCTTTAGACATGGACAGGGCTCACGGCCAGGCGGGCCGCAGCTGTTCAGGAACTTGGAGGCATAAGTGTCTTGTGGTGGGTGGTCTGTGCCGGGCATTCCTCGGGGGCACTGTGACCCACAGCCATACTTGCATTGGTCACAGTGATCTGAATGGAAAGCGCAGCCACAGGAAGTGAAAGAGCTAAGGAAAGGCCCTGAACTCTGGAGAAGGGAAGGGAGGCAGGCTGAGGGGAGCCGGGTACTAGCACCAGTGTGCTCTTCCCACCGCAAATCTGTCTGTCTCAATGCCCTGAGTACGACCAGAGGGACCTATTTCTGTAACTCGACTCTAAGTGCGTCTCTCCCTGGATCCACACTCTGCAGGAGACAGAAGAAGACAGCCTGAACTCAGCCTGGCACTGTGCCCTGGCCAGCCTCTTCTCATAGTCCTGAAGGACGTGCAGCAGGCCGCCCTCTGTTCCCAGCCCCTCCCAGCATGGTGGCTTTGCATGGGTTCCATTGCCCACTGTATATTTATCACTGCCCACCAGGAAGCAAGCAAGGATGATACACACCCAAGGGCCTGCCCCCAGTGACCTCCTTCCTCCACTTTGACCCCACTTCCCAACAGTTCCTGAACCTCCCAAAACAGTGCCACAAGCTGGGACCAAGTTTTCAAAATGTGATTTTTCTGGAGGATGTTTCAGATCCCTACCCTAGCACTTTCCTCTAGGGCTAAGAACGTTATTTAGTTCCTTGTACCAGGAGCTTGTGTATTGGCTTGTCTAGGCAACTGCACTGTTCATTCAGATCTGGCCCTACTGGTATCCACGGTGCAAACATGTTTTAATAATAATAACAACAGTAATACGAGACATTCTGACAACCAAATTGTCAGCACGGCGCTTACACTTCCCACATTAATTTGTTACAGCTGTCATGACAAAGTACCACACATCGGAGGCTGAAGTCAGAGAAATGAGTCTTCTCACAGCTAGAACGGTGGTTCTCCACACCACTCAGTAGGGAAGTTACAGTTATGAAGTAGCAACGAAAATAAATTTATGGTTGGGGGTTCCATCGGAAGACATGTATTTCCAATGACCACAACCTACAGGTTGAGAAGGGCTGGTCAAGAGGCTAGAAGTCCAAGCTCAGGGTGCAGTCAAGATTAATGACTAATTATTCTTCTTCTTCTTCTTCTTCTTCTTCTTCTTCTTCTTCTTCTTCCTCCTCCTCCTCCTCCTCCTCCTCCTCCTCCTCCTCCTCCTCCTTCTTCTTCTTTTTTGGTTTTTCGAGACAGAG